AAATGGCCACAAAAGAATTAAAATTGAATTGTAACTTTGAATGGTTCAAATGGTATGAATTGTTAATTATGCAAATGTATGTGAAGAGCTCTTATAATTCTCCAATTTTAAGTCATGATTGAACATTTTATGGCAAAAAGAGAACAAAGGTTCTTAATGACTTAAATAGGTAAAAATGGCAAAATATACTTATACTAGGGTAGAAACGATGAGATTACATATGAGAGGACTCTTCCTAAAGTAGATTTATTGCTGAGCAAGTATTAAAAATTTGTAATTCATCTTAAAGATTTCTTTATTTTATGATAAGTTGCTATTTTCAGAAAAGTTTCAAGGATGTACAGATAGTTTCCTCCACCCAGCTTGTCCCACTGTTAACATAACCGTGGTGCCTTTGTCAAAACAAGGAAAGCTAGTACAATATTACCTAAACTACAGGTTTTTTTGGATTTCACCAGTTTTCCCAACTAATGCCCTTTTTGTGTTTCAAGATCAGTATGGTATCTAGGATACCATACTGCATTAAGTCATAATATCTCTTTCATCTCCTCAGCTGTGTTTCTCAGTCTTTCCTTTCATGATCTTGAAACTTTTGAAGAGTACTGTGAGGCATTTTGCAGCATGTCCCTCAACTTGGCTTTATTTCATATTTTTCTCAAGACTAGAATACGGCTATGTGTTTGGGGGAAAAATATCACAGAAGTAGAATATCCTCATCATATCATACCAAGGTACTTGGTATCAACATGACTTATCTTGGAGATGATAACATTGATCACTCAATGAAGGCGGCCATGTTTTGCCACAGAAAAGTTACCTTTTTTCCCCATTTCCATACTCTCTGAGTAGTGCGGTTTAGCCCACACTCAAGGGGAGGGAATTAAGCTTCAATATGGGGGGTGAGTGAATAGGAATTTTTGTGTAAGAAAGATTTTTGTCTTCTCTGTCATTTATCTATTCAACCATTTATTTACATCAGTGTGGATCATTAATACATATTTTATCCTTTAGGTTATCATCTAATATGATTTTTATTTTCTTGCTTAAAACGTTTCAGCTTTGGTCATTGGGAACTCTTTCTGGTTGGCTCCTGTATCATTTTGACATGCATCAATAATTTTTTGCCACTATTTCACCTTCTGCCACTACAAAGTGCTTCAGGTTCATCTTGCATTTTTCCAGCCCTAGCTCTAGAATCAGCCATTTTTCCTGAGGGCACTGGTTCCATTTTTATTGCAGAATGGCATTTAAACTAAAATCTGGGCATGAGGTGTGTTCATTGCTACTGTGGCATTACTGCTTCTAGGACCTTCAGTAGGTAGAGCTAGTAAATGCTATGTATATATACCCATGTATGCACACATATCTATATTTGTTTTTGTATCTATTTGTATGTAAATTAAAATAAAAATGACTTCATATTGATATCACTACCTCTATCACTGCAAAGTTAGTTTTTCTTATCTCCCTTTGTTTATGTGACAATGAGAAACCCAGCTTTCATTTTCAACAATTTATTTACTTGTATGTTTTACCCCAGTATACATGCAAAGTGATTTTCAGAATTCACCTGTACTCCTGTGAGAAAAAAAAAAGATCAAATAGAGTATGTCTATGTTTGGTTATTTTTCTCTATAGCATTATGCTTTTCAGTCTTTATCCTGCCAAAGTATTGTTTCTCAGAGTTACTTAGGGTAGATTTGTTTCTCCCATGGTCTTCAGTTATGGCTTATGTTTGTAATTTGGCTAGTTTCATTTGACACAGTCCCTACTCCATCTTGGAATATTCCAGCATCCCATTTGTTTCCCTATTTTTAATTAGCATACTATATAGCTCACTCTTTGTGTTGTGTGGTTCTATGGGTTTTGATGAGCACACAGTCACTTGTCAATCACCACAGTACCGTGCAGTACAGTTCCATCACCCCCAAAATGTCCTCACACTATCACTTTGTAGTCAATCCTCCTGTATCTCTAAACGCTGGCCACCACTGATCTGCTTCCTATCTCTATGTTTTGCCTTTTCTAGAATTTCATGCAGATGCAATCATACAATATTTAGTCATTTGGGTCTCCCCCCTTTCACTTACAAAATGCATTTAAGATTCATCCATGATAGTGCCTGAATCAATAATTCTTTCCTTTTTATAGGTTAGTAGTATTCTATTGTATAGGTATACTAAGTTTGTTCATTCAATCACCAGTTGAAATATATTTTAGTTATTTTGGCATTTTGACAATTTTATAAATAAAATTGCTGTGAATATTTACATATAGGTTCCTCTGTAAAACTAAGTTTTGAATTCACTTGGGTAAATACCTAAGAGTGAGAATGCTGAATCATATTGTAAGTGCATGTTTAATTTTAAAAGAAACTGACAAAGAGGTTTCCAAAGTGCAGTACCATTTTGAATTTCCTTCAACAACAAATTAAAATTTCTGTGATCAAAAGCATTTCATATTGTCAGATTTTTAAAAAAATGTATCCCTTTTAAAAGTTGTCTAGTGGTATCTCATCATGGTTTTAATTGGTAGCTTGCTAATGACTAATGATGTTAAACATCTTCCCATATGCTTATTGGTCTTTCATATATCTTCTTTGATAAAGTTCAGGTATTTCACCAATTTTTTAATTTTTTAAATTAATTTTTAAGAGTTCTTTATATATTTTTATCAATATGTGATTTACAAGTCTGAAGCTTATATTTTCATTCTTTTAACAGTGTCTTTCACAGAGCCATTTAAAAAAATTTTATTTTTTTTTTTTGCTTTTGATTCACTCATTGTAATAGAAAGGGTTGTGCTCAGCTAATTCCTTTAGTGACAAAAGAGCATGTACATTGAAGCAAGTAAGAAAAAAACAAATTCCAATATATCACAGATTGAAGGTTTAGACCTTGTATATTTTCTTATCCATCATTTCTCATAAATAGCTGGTTCTATAGAATTTATTTTAAGTCAGAGGTATAGGATTTGATATTTTTTCTCATTAAAATTGTAAAGTTATATGCTCCTTTGGTGTCCTGAGATTGGCCTACAAAATCCATTATGTAGCAGAATTATAGCATTATATCAATAGTTCTTTGGAAAAGAGTGGTGCAATTTGGTAGCTACTAGTCACATAGGACTGTCGAGTACTTAAAATGTGGCCTGTGTGACTGAGGCTATGGCTTTTAATTTTGATTAGTTAAGTTTAAAAACTGATACTCAATTTAGTTACTGAAAAACTTTCAAGTATATATGGGACAACTTGGCTTTGTGAATCTTTTTTTTTCAACTGTAAAGTTTATGAAATCTAAATACAGATCAAGTATATCCAGTAAGAATTTAGTATCAAAATTGAGATGTACTATAAGTACACACTGGATTTTAAAGACAATATGAAAAAGAGGATGTTAAAAGGCCCATTAATATTTTTTACATGATTTACATTTAACATGATCACATGTTAAAATGACTGTATTTTGAATATATAAATATATTTTAAAATATATTTAATATTTAATATATTTAATATATTATTAAATATATTTTAAATAAGTAAAATATATTATTAAAACCCATGTTACTAGCTTCTTTTCACTTTTTTAAATGTGGCCCCAAGAAAGATGAAATTGCATATGTCTCACATTATGTTTTCTTTAGACAGCACTGCTTTAGAACCACATATTATGTATTAAAATTATATTTCATGTCAGAAGGCATTAAGTGTTCTGAATGGCATGCTAATAACCTGACCAAAACTAACTCCAAGTCCCACAATATAATCAGGCACCCTTGTTCTCCTGCCTTCCTGAAGAAGGATCAAGGGTCACTAAATTCCAAGTCACCTTTTTTTTTTTTTTTTTTTTTTTTTTTTTTGTGGGCCCCTCCTTTTTGTGGCCTCTCCCGTTGCGGAGCACAGGCTCTGGACGCGCAGGCTCAGCGGCCATGGCTCAAGGGCCCAGCCGCTCCGCGGCATGTGGGATCCTCCCGGACCGGGGCACGAACCCGTGTCCCCTGCATCGGCAGGCGGACTCTCAACCACTGCGCCACCAGGGAAGCCCCCCAAGTCATCTTTGATGGATTTTATATCCTCAGGGGCTCCAGCAAGGAAAGGGCTGGAAGAATGGATAGTAAGGCTCAAGATGGGTATTGCAGGTCTGATAGTATCTCCTGGTGCCCTAAACACGCCGTAAAGTGGGCAACACTTCTGATTACTGAAGGGCTCCAGTTCATGCCTTACTTTCTTCTGAGGAAAAAGGGGTTGGGCTGCCTCCTTTCCTCCCCACTTCTCTTAGTACTTCTTAACTCAAAAAGCATAGTACTTAGTACTTCTTAACTCAAAAAGCTTTCACCTTTCTCTTTACTTTTCAGCAGTGTGAAATTAATAATAAGAGGTTTCCTTACTTAGCAAAGACAACTTTTCTTCTTTTTATATAGCTTATTAATGAAATTGTGTGTGTACATATACGCACATATATATGTGTATGCATGCATACACACACATACAAACACTACGAGTATGAAAGATTTAGTGGTATAGGTATCATCTTACCAAAACTGAAACTAGTTTTCAAAAAGATAACTAATATAGAAAGAAGTTGCCCTGACTTTGAAATGATATTACACATTATATTTTTAAAAATATATTTCAAGATATTTTAATATCTTAGCATAAAATTTCACAGGTACAATATTTAAAGTTTCTTTTAGAAAAATAAAGAATAGTATAGAAATCTTAAGGATGTTAAGTATAATATTTATGAAAATACAACTAAATGTCATGGGTATATTATTCTACCTACCATGACATATTATATTAAGTTTTAACTTTGATACAATGTTAAACCTAAATTCACAGAACATCTCTTCATATGAGATAAATTTCTAAAACTATTCTTTACTTTGGATGAATTTTAGCTTGTAATCTTCTTAAACAATCAAAGTTACCTATAAGTTCTAATTGAACACATTTCTCTCAAAATCCAGCCAGCTTGAGAAAGTAAGTATATACTTACAATGTAGAGAACATATCATGGGAAGCACATAGACAGTTGTTAAGCTACTCCAAGGTATGATAAAATTCTTGAATTATTACATTATAAACCTGTTAGGATAGAGAGAGAAAAATAAGTATGTTAGTTAAATGTGCTGGATGTAATATATATGAAGCTAAATAACCAAAAGAAAACAAAAAGAAATAATATATCTTACAAACATAGATCTTTATGTATTATTGTGTCCTTTTCTTATATTAATTTATGAATATTTTTAATTTTGGAGAAAATGTTATTGAATTACATAAGTCATTTCAAAATACAGGCAGACCTCAGAGAAATTGCAGGTTAGGTTCCAGACCACTGCAATAAAGTGGATGTTGCAACAGAGCAAATCACACAATTTTTTTGGTGTATCAGGGCATATAAAAGTTATGTTTACACTATACTGTAGCCTATTATGTAATAGCATTATGTCTAAAAAGCAATGTACATACCTTAATTTAAAAATACTTTATTGCTAAAAAATGCTAACCATTATCTGAGCCTTCGAGTCAATCTTTTTGCTATAGTAACATCAAAGATCGCTGATGACAGACCATCCTAACAAGTATAATAATAACGAAAAAGTTTGAAATATTGGGAGAATTACCAAAATGTGACACAGATAAATGAAGGGAGCAAATACTGTTGGAAAAAAACAGCGCTGACAGACTTGCTTGATGCAGGGTTGCTACAAACCTTCAATTTGTAAAAAAACCTCAGTATTTGCAAAGCGCAATAAAGTGAAGCACAATAAAATGAGCTATGCCTGTACAATAAAAGAGATATTACTAAAAAGAATAAACGGTGTCTTTAAAACTCTAAGGAAATGAGTATATCTTGTTAACTAAATATATTTCATGGTCTCTATTTTTCATGTTTTCCACTTAAAGAATAAGTTGTGTCTATAGCACAAAAACCAAAAACCAAAATAAAACGTTACTAAATCATCTGGACGTTTATTATTATCTGGATGCTTAACAGAGTAAAGACCATGTTGATGTATGCCAGCTCCTATGGTCTGAATGTCTGCATCCCTCCCCTCCCCCTCTAAATTCATATGTTGAAATCTTAATGCTCGAGGTAGTGGTATTGGAAGGTGATTAGGTCATGAGGGTAAAGCTCTTATGAATGGGATTAGTGCCTTTATAAAGGAGAATCCAGAGAGCTCCCTTGCCCTTCCACCATGTGAGAACACAGTGAAAAAACAGCATCTATGAACCAGGAAGCTCTCACCAAATACCCAATCTGCCAGCCTCCAGAAATAAATATCCATTGTTGATAAGCTACCCAGGCTGTGTTACTTTGTTATAGCAGCTCAAATGGACTAAGACACTTGCCCACATACATGATTGGGTATAAATGGAGCAAGTGCTTTCAAACCTAATTGAATTACTTATTCAGTAATGAATAAAGATTATATCTAATACAAAGTGGGAAACCGACCCACTGACATTCATCACCCCAATCAAGAGCAAATATCTTCAAACTATGGAATAATTTAAAGTAAAATAAAAAGTGGATTTATTTTTCTCTTTAAGATAGTGCCTCCTAAAACTCTTATGGGAATTTATTACCTGTCAATTTTTTTTTTTTTTTTTTTTTTTGCTGTAAAACATACCCAAAGAAGCCTCATACTTATAGGTTACTAAAAATGGTGGTTAGGTATCTTGTACTCAGTACACACACACACACACACACACACACACACTCCCCATATCTCTTGTTCCCACTGCATACCCCCCAAACACCTAACTTTTTTTTTCTTCCGGAATTCAGTAGATTTTAAAGCAAAATTCAGCCAGATTTCTTTCTGGATTTACACATAGCCTAGGCTTGTGCTTAATAGAAAAAAAGAGTTTAATTTTTGCCTTAATTTAGTACATTTCTCCCTTTATTTACACTTCAATATTGTATGCAAACACAGTTAAAGATAAACAAAATGTGGAGGATAGACGTGGCATTTCTGCTTATTTTTAACATCAAATCTTACCTAATTATTATCTTTTCAAAGGTATGAGAAAGGAGATGAAAAACTTGTCTGTATTTTGTAATAGCGGTTGAATGACGTTTCTGGGTGTATGTAATTCTCATTTAATCATCACAACAATAGTGTAAGGTGGGTTTTATTTTCCTCATCTTATAGGGTTCAGACAATTCAAACAACTTGTCCACATTAAGGAGCTGAAAGGTATTATAGCTGGGAGTCAAATACAGCCCTAACTTCAAAGTGTCTACTCAAAAGAGTCTTCCTTGCACATGGCTCCCTAAATACTGTTTATAATTCTGCCTTGATATTTACTTTCAGTACTATTTGAGTCCCCAGTTTGAAACAAAAATTGAGATTTTTTTAAGGTAGATTTTCTCTGTTGAAACTGTATGTATCTTGTGCTTAGAGTTATTAAGTGAGTAGAACCACAAATAAAATCATTGCATATAACATATGTAACGTTTTGGTTATAAATCTTGACATAAAGGATCAATATATAGAATAAATTAAGAAAAATAGAGAAGGGGGATTTACATCTATGTCAACTGGTTCCAGACTCTTATGATATTTGAGCATCTGTGAATGTTTTTTTATGGTTTTTTATCTCAGCATCAAATGCCATTCTTGCTCTGTTTTTACCACCCAATATATCATCTGATGCATTTGAAATGAACTTGGCTGGAAAGTCAGAAAAATCAAACCTTTAGAATCCTATCTATATGGAGAGCAAGTAATGAAAGCCAACAAGTACATGTGTGCATGTGTGTATTTCCCAAATCATGGCTACGATTTAATAATGACTCAGCATGCTGAATAAATAACACTCAAGTTATGGAGTTACTCTTATATTGCTATTATTTTTTGTTGGTAAAGTTTTACCTGAATAAAGTTATTATCTCTGTTCTTCCTGCATTACATGCGAGGACACTATTATTGTCTTAAGTTTCCTACATTTATGTCTAACCCAGTCAAACAATGACAATATATTTTTCTCTTTTGCATTCCTACATACTTGTGTTTTTCTTCATAGAACAGTCAAGGCATCTGCCTGACTTGGGGTAGAGGTGGGAACAGACACTCAGTTTCTGTCATTTAAAGCATTATTTTGATGTACAGCTTAAAGTCAGGCAGTCTTGAGAAGGATTTCTAAATTCCTTTAGTTCTCTTTTACATATAGAGGTTATTTGGATGTTTTGCCAAGATCCAGAGGCTTAGTGAGGATGAAACACTAAGATGAAACTTTAAGATGATTCACTGATTTTTACTTTTCATCTTGATGTTTGTTTGACAAAGTCTGCATGAAATTTTATATAGAGCAGTTTCAGTCCTGTAGAAAGAGCATTAGGAAGAAAGCCTTCTTTGCCTCTTCTTATGAGAAATGCCAGAAGAGGGGGAGTGAAGAAGACCACAGCGGAAGGAGAAAGTGGCTACCACAGCTCTTGTTTTTTCCTCCCAGCTTTTTGAGTCCAAACCTCCCAGGGAAGAAGCTTTAGAAACTCCTAGTTAAGTTGAGGGAATTCTAAGGGTTTTTGCTTATGGATTTGGGAAGAGACTGCTGTGCTGTGTAATCCCATGCCAACACTCGATGGTGACCCAGAGAGTCATGAGAGTCCCAGGGCATGAACAGGCACAGTTTAGAATCCCAAGACTCCCTAGGCTATAGTGTGGCATGGACAATGAATTGAGAAAAGTTGGGTCTAAATGGGAGCAAAATGACAGCCACAGAGGTTTGTGAGGTTTTCAGCTTTAAGCAGGTGTCAGAAGTGGGAAGTAGCAATGTATGTAACAGCAGAGACTCTGATGGGCCTGGAAGCCAAGATCCAGGGCAGACCGAATAGCAGGGCCATCAGGCAGAGATAGAGTTGCAAAAGAACTGACTGTGAGAGGTGTCGGCAGAGAGTGGCCACAACAACAGGACTGGGTGTCTCCCTGAGCAGAGATAGTCAGGGAAGGCAGGCCTCCTGGAGGAGGTCACATTTAAACTGAAGATAAACAGAGGGGACACTAGGTCAAAGGGCCAGGGTAGAAACAAGCACAGCATATTCAAGTAGGGGGTGGGAAACAACAACGGCGTGCCTGTAGTGTAGTGACCCAGGGCCCAGTGGTAGGGGAGGGGTGGTGGGGCTGGGGGTTGATAGGTAGATAGTGACCAGGTGACACTGGGCCTCAGAGACCACTGTAAGGAGTTCAGACTTTGTGATACAATGGAGATAGGAAAGTTTTGACCAGGGGACTAGCACAATCTGATTAAAATTTAAAAAGATCACTTTGAGGGCTTCCCTGGTGGCGCGGTGGTTGAGAGTCCGCCTGCCGATGCAGGGGACACAGGTTCGTGCCCTGGTCCAGGAAGATCCCACATGCCGCGGAGCGGCTAGGCCCGTGAGCCATGGCCACTGAGCCTGCGCATCCGGAGACGGTGCTCCGCAACGGGAGAGGCCACAACAGTGAGAGGCCCGCGTACCACAAAAACAAACAAACAAATAAACAAACAAAAAATAAAAAGATCACTTCGAATAGTCTGTGAATAGTAGAAAAAGCAAGTCCAGGAGCAGTAGCCTCCAAAGGATATTGCAGTAGTTGAGTTGAGATATGATGGTGGTTGTAAATTTGGGGACAGTGACAATGAAGAGAAGTGTTTGGATTTCGGATATATTTGAGTAAAGTATAAAATCCTACTCATTAATTTCACCATTTCACAAACTCAAATGCATTTTGGAGCTTTCATTATAGAGCAGGTTTTTTTTTCTTTAACAAAGGATGAATAGAAAAATTAAAATTACTTAGATATATTATGTAGGGTACTTTAGTCACTTAGGGTAAAATTCGCCAAAGGGGAAATAATATGGACACATACTTGTTTTATGTAATATTTTAAAATAATTGTTGAGCCAATTGATTAAAGATAGTATAAATGATTAAGAAAAGCACTATATGATTCTTATAAATGAAAGAATAGGAAAATAGCCAAATGGAGCATTACTTTTCTTATGAAGAAAAAATTTTTAAAGGACTCTGAGTGATGCTCTTAGAAACATCTCAGTTATATTCAAAATTGAACTCCCTTAATAAGAGTAAGTT